AAGGACTTGTGTCGCTAAAGTTTCGTCGAACGAATTTACGGAAAATTAACTAGCGAACGGAGACGTAACAATATATTGTAATAATTGCTTAAATGTAGTTTGTGCCAATAGGTTAAGTATAACCTATGTGTATTATGTTCTTTATTGCATTTAGAGATGATATTATGAGTATAATCAATGACGCTTTGACAACATAACTGACAAATGTTATGAATTAAGAATTTTTGGTGCCCGTCCCTGTCAATACAAAAGATACTCTTACGGCTCTGTATTTCTTTGTTTTTGAATTTTGCGCAAAACTACTCAAGGGATATCGGCGCTAGCCATCTCTAATTTAACAGTGATAGACCCACTATCAACTCTTCGGCTACATTTCTACCAACGAATAGTGGGAGTGACCATCACATAATAACGCTCCCACAGCTGAAAGCATGTTCAGTGACTTGGAATTGACCCCCCGACCCTCAGATTGCGAGTTAAGCACTCTAAAAGGCCCCGTTTATTATTGGAATACAATAAATGCTGGAATTTTCAAGAATAGTAAATGTCTCAAATAAATCATGTTTAATTCAGAACTGTTTAAAAACGTTTATAAATATGTCGTTTTAACAATTTTTTCTTCTGACATCAGAATCCTTTATAAATAAACCATTTTCTTCCGAAAACGATGTGTTTGTTGCGTTGTAATTAAACACAAAGCTACACAATGGGCTATGTGTGCTGGAACCAACACGGGTATCGAAACCCGGTTTCTTGTGTTGTAAGTCCGGAGACATGACGCTGTGCCACTGCCGGGCTCCGAAAAGAAAATTTTTCAATGTGCTATTTGCTTGTTTTTTTTTGTTGTTGTTTTTCCATTTGAAAACTGATTTGTTGAGCTGATCGCTAGTTAAAAACTATTCTTGCTTCTAATTTAATAGATTTTACTATCTGCCTTTCCTGTGGTCTATCACTTGAAAATTAGGGACAGCTAGCGCTGACAGCCCTCGAATAACTTTGGGAAAATCAACAAAAGCGAGAACAATCAAAACAAATAACTCATTTTGTATTAAAACGTTTTTGTTCATGTTTTTTTTTTGTAATGTTTGTTACACCTTCTAGATTTAAAACATTGAGACTTCGCGACATCTAGTGAAGTTGTTTTAGGTTAACATGGCATCAGCTTGGGAAGAGGTGAAACGTCTTGCAGCAGATTTTCAAAGAGCTCAGCTAACTTCTTCAGTCCAAAGGTATATTTGCTAACAGTAATAATAACTTGGATAACATTGATTCCAGTATATGTTTTCTTAATTTGAAATGCATCACTTAGCATATATGAAAGTTTATAAACCGTAACACGTGTCAGTATGTGAACGTAGGATTGTACGCGATACTGCTTTATTACTTATTTTACTATAATTAAATTGAATAATAATACTAATAGGTTTAACTGTAGTGTTGTTTGATCTGACGTTACTGTTAATAAACAGTAATAATAACTTGGATAACATTGATTCCAGTATATGTTTTCTTAATTTGAAATGCATCACTTAGCATATATGAAATTTTATAAACCGTAACACGTGTCAGTATGTAAACGTACGATTGTACTCGACACTACTGTATTATTAATACTACTACTACTAATAGGTTTAACTGTAGTGTAGTTCGATCTAACGTTAGTATTCATAAATTTATTATTGGTAATAAATTGTGAAAACCTGAAATATGTTAAGAATTTAAGACTATTAAAAAGCTTTTGAGATCGATTTTTAAGAATTGTCCTTGGAACGAAACCATACCCATTAGCATTGACGTTATTTATTGTTAAACTCAAAGGATAACAAGAGGCATGTTGAGTTAGTAATAGTATTACAACTCTCGACTCGAACCTTTCCATCTATGAAAAAAAAAATCCCATCCTAATTACTTAACTATTTATTGAACCTTCCTTTAGACTTACTGCATGCACTACATCTGAAGTAACATATTCCAAAGGCCTTTTACTATGTTAGTGTTACAAAAATAGAACTAAACTGAAGATAACCCCAACCCTTCCAAAATTTATATTTTTGTTACAGTGTACTACCATTCTTGTTATTAAAGTATGGAAAAAGAAAATCAACACCTTTAATAATTTTGAACACTTAATCAGATCCCCTTTAAGAGTTCTTAATCTGTTCTCATAGTCATATGACCTTTCTATCTAAAGTACCATAAGGGTCACATTAAAGCAGGGCTGGAACTGGGTGGGGGTATGTACCCTGAAATTTTACTCTGGCCCACCCAAGTTAATTCTCCTTAGCCATTTAAAAAATTGTGTGATTTATTTAAATCATTAAGAAGAGTCAACAAAAGCTACACTACCCCTCTGTCCACAAGGGAGATGAGCTGTAGCCAGGCCTGCATTAAAATCTGAATGCTATCAAGCCCAACCAATCAATGCTGTATATTACACTTTACAGTCTGACATTCAGCTATAACCACCAATGGTCTAGTAGGTCAATCACCGTGCAGCATATCTTGTAAAAGAACACTATATTTAATTTTTATACATTAATATTACAATTTGACAGTTTAACTTACCAACATTACCTTAATATACCTTTTTGTTACACTGCAGTTTCATCTACCTCTGAGTGTTGCTTCCCTCCAGTTGCAATTCTAAAATCTCAGAGTCTCTAAGAAGTTGATTTGTCAATTATTTCCTTTTATTGTAACTTTACCTTTTCCCCTCAGAACAGAGTCCACCCCCACCCCAGTTATAATGCCATTGATTATACCACAGATTCAGATATACTGCAGGTCTTCCCTCTACATTCTAAATTGGACTTGACCACTGAGGAACCTTCCGCTGTGTGTCTTTTTTTGACTAGTTCAGTCTTTAGTGGTGTCTTAGTGTTGTGATTACTTTTTTGATTACTGTGGAAGGTTTACAGATGTAGAATTGTCCTATATTATTGTATTACATTTTTTTGTGAGTAATGGTGAACATAAATAAGAAAAAGGTATAAACCATTAAGTAAAAACCAACAATTATTGAAAGAGTAAAAAGTGGGGTTTCATAAGTGCAAATTAAAAGGGAGTTGGGGTATCCTAGTTGATATGATATCTAGATGGAATTTCAGAGGAAGGAAGTCAATGTTTGTTCTTTGACAAAAAATGATGTTGCAGAAAAAATTCTTTGGTAAAACACAACAAAAATTACTGAATTTTTAAAGAAATGATTCAACTAAATAAATTCCATGTAGTGACGTTATATCAATGTCAATACATAGTTTTTTTTTGTATTTTGTTGTTTGTAGTAATTTTAGATAATTAACACAAAAATATAAAAGTTGTATTTACGTACTATACTGGATAATATGACTGTTTCCTTGGTAATATAGCAGGAGGTCTTATAACGAGGGTCACTTTACCTCCCTCGAAACCTGCATTATAACCAGGGAGCACTGTAACAATAACAACAGGTGTGGTTACCAACCACTCAACTAGTCAGCTTCTGCTCTCCCTATTTGTGGTAACCCATTGCACCCTCAGTGTGGGACTTCATGCAGGTGGTAAGATTTTTTTTGTTCAGTCCATGCACGTGTCTAGTGTTCTACCCTACATGAAATCCTACCTAAATGCAGTGGGACAATGCTTAAATCCACAGTACCAAGTTGTTTGAATGGTTGATTGGAAAGTTCTATTTTGGGTTCTCACTTGTATGTGACTGAATAGATGTACCCTGTGATATTTATGTTTATATTTACTGTTTAGTTATCTACGTTACCATTTATATTTAGTGTTTAGTTATCTACGTTAACATTTATATTTAATGTTTAGTTATCTACGTTAACATTTATATTTAATGTTTAGTTATCTACGTTAACATTTATATTTAATGTTTAGTTATCTACATTAACATTTATATTTAATGTTTAGTTATCTACATTAACATTTATATTTACTGTTTAGTTATGTACATTACCATTTATACTTAGTGCTTAGTTCTCTACATTACTATTTATATTTAGCGTTTAGTTATCTACATTAACATTTATATTTAGTGTTTAGTTATCTACATTAACATTTATATTTAGTGTTTAAGTATTTACGTTACCATTTATAATTAGTGTTTCGTTATCAACGTTACCATTTATATTTAGTGTTTAGTTATCTACGTTACCATTTATATTTACTGTTTAGGAATCTACATTAAAATTTATATTTAATGTTGAGGTATCTACATTACCACTTGTATTTTGTGTTGAGGTATCTACGTTAAGATTTATATTTAGTGTTGGGGTATCTACGTTAACATTTATATTTAGTGTTGGGGTATCCATAAAGAAAGTATATCTGAAAACAAATACTTAAAAACAACTTATTACTGATGGCAGCTACCCATACAAAAACTACCAGTAGTTATAGAAATACCAGTGTTATCAGAGACCTGAGCGTCCACCTTTCGCTCGGGTTATAGGGTACCATAACTCTGTGTTAAATTGAACGTACATGTTTTTTCTAACATCATAAGTGCTATCAGAGAAACATTCTTATGCAAAGTATCACTGCGAACATAGAAATCTGGTGACAGAGACACCCATACCGAAAATACCATTTAGTGACCGAGATACCAACACAATGTATAAATGGTGACAGACATACTCATACACGAAAGTATCAATGATAATGGGGAAACCCATATATAGACAATCAATAGTGACGGAGATATCCATAACCAAATTATCATTGGGATATAATAAAGATACAAAGTACATCCCTGATGACAGAAATTCCCTTACACAGAATTAGATTGGTTAAAATTATATATTGAGTATGGATATCTTGTAACCAATCTAATTCTGTGTAAGGGTATTTCTTTCACTACTGATGCTTGGTGTATTTTTGTTACAATTGATCTTGATCACCATTGACGATACCTATAAAGAAAGCACCATTCATTGCAAAGATATCCATATTCAAAGTATAGTGAGAGCAATACCCACAGAGAAAAGGTAGCAACAGAAATATGTATGTATAAACAATAAAGTACCACTAGTTACAAGAACACTCTTGTAAACACAAAAAACGGTATCACTAATTCACACATGTAGAAAAAGTATTACCACAACTTATAGTGACATTCTCACAAAAAATAATTATCACTGGTTACAGAGATACTCTTACAAAAAAAGTATCATTACTTACAGAGACACTTACAAAATAAAGTATCACTGGTTAAAAAAGCACTTTTACAAACAAAAATCAAAACAGTATCACTAATTCACACTAGTAGAAAAATTATTACCACAACTTATAGTGACATTCTCACAAAAATAATTATCACTGGTTACAGAGACACTCTTATATACTTCTGCTTCCTCTACTCTGTGTCATCACTATTGTTTTGTAGCATGTAGTTGTACTGTCTCCAGTTGTATGTTATATATAGGTATTTGTGCTACCGCTACTATTTTGGGTGAGGAAACATTACATCCAGTTATAATTTATTTATTAATTATCCATTACCAATTACAGTTTTGGGTAGTATTGTGTCAAGTTTGATATTATATGTAAAGGTATTTCTGCGTATAGTTATCTGTCATCACTATTATTTTGTTTAGGTGTATCTCTGCCAACACTGATTCTTTGTAATGAGCATATCTGTTAACAATATCATTTTCATCATATATATATATTTCTGTATGTGTGTGTGTGTGTGTGAATATAGAAATAAGTACAGAATTCCAAATATTTCTAATACTTTAAATATTGAAATCTTTGTTACAAGTGATACTTTAAGTATTGATATCTATTTAGCCAGTGATTGTTTTTTATATAATCAAATTATAACTAGAGACATTACGTCCTCACTAACAATTATTAATAAAATATAACTGGAAACAAATATTTTCATATAAAAAGTAGTGAAGACAGAAATACATATAAGGAAAATACAGTTGGAAACGATATATTCACACACCAAAAAGTAGTGGTGGAAGAAATACCTGTAAATAAAACATAACTGGAGGCAATATATCCACACACATTGAATGGTACTGGTAGTAGATATACCTATAAACAAAATATAACTGGATATAATATATCCACACACACTGAATGGTACTGGTAGCAGAAGTAGCTATAAACAAAATATAACTGGAGATAATATATCCACATAAAATAGTACAGGAAGCAGAATTACCAATAATCACAATATAACTAGAGCCAATATATTAACAAACAAAATATTATTAGTCAC